TCCTGGCCACGCCCTGTGTGGCCAGCAGACAGAGGACAGGCCTGGTTCTGTGACCCATGCTGGCCACAGAGCAGGGCCTGGCTGAGTGGACCCTGTTGTCCTCCCCAGAGATCCAGGCCCTGCCCCACAGCAGAGCCCCACATTGGGGAGGGCAGAACTGTGCCCTCAAATGTTCAGCTTCCAGAGCCTCCTGCAGCTACAGGTGGCGTGCTGGCCTGAGAGGGGACCGAGTTCTGGCCAGTGAGACGTGAGCACAAATTCCCGGGCGGCTGATTAGAGGGCCGAGCCCAGGAGGCCCAGCTGTAACTTTTGTCCTTTCTCCTCCTGCTGCCTGGAAGGGGACCTCCAGCTGGGGTGGGGTGGCCACGGCGTGACTGTGAGGTGACCACACGTGCCTACTAAGGATGGCAGGTGGAGACACGGGGACGGAGGTCCCAGGGGATGCCACAGAGGCCCAAGTGCCAGCTCTAGACTCGTGTGGGTGCAGAGCTCAGCCTCCCCTTGCGTCCCTGCTCCTGGCTGCCCAGCGCCACCCCAGCAGACCCACCGGTCCCCGGTTCCGGCCTTTCCATCACCCCATCTCAAATGTCTACTTCCTCCACAGCCAACAGAGCAAGAGCCCAGCGAGGAGGAAACCCGACCCAACTCCCAGGCTGTGGTGTGGAGCAGGGAGGGAAGGGCAGGTGTCTCCGTTTCTCATCACCCTGCAGAATCGAGCCAGCCCCGAGCATGCAAAGGGGACCAGGAGGTAAATGCTGGCCCGCCCTCCCCGGGGAGACAAATCGCTGGCCAGCAGCCAGGGTTGGGAGAAATCCTGGCTCTGCTCCCTGCTCCTGCTGTGCCCTTGCGCCATGCCCTGCCCCTTCCTGGGCCTCAGTTTCCCCTCCTGCCAGAGGAAGGGAAGACCAGGTGCTTTTGCCCCGTTCTGAAATTCTGTGTTCTAGGACTTGGGATGTGCTGAACGCTCCTGGTGCTGGAAGCCAGTCGGTCAAGGTCACAGCAGAGGCCCCAAGTCCAGGAAGCCCATCCACGAGGCCCGTCTGGGACCCCGGTTCCTGGGGGACAAACCTCCAGCCAAACAGCATGGCTGGGCATCAGATCCATTTCAGCACAAAGAGCATGAGCCCCGGAGGCACTCACAGTTTAGTTAACAGCTACTATGTGCAGACCCCGTGCTAGGGCTGCACAGGGCTATTCTCACGGATCCTCCAACAACTCTGCAGTGCAGACCCTCTTACAATGCCCACTTTGCAGACGACAAGATTGAGGTCTAGAGACCTTCAGGGCAGCACATACAGTAGTAGCTAGTAAGTGGCAGATTTGGGATTCAAACCCATCTCTTCCTGGCTGTGTAAGCCGTGCGTTTCAGAGCCTAATGAGTTAGGAACGTCCAGGAAAGGACGGTGGGAGGCAGGGACGTGGTGAGGAAGGAAAGGAGCAGGTCCAGGTGTCAGAGGGCGCCAGGGGTTACCGTGGAGCCGGCACTGGGTGGCCCTGAACCCAAGGGCAAGGGACCCCTGGAAGAGGGGGGAGGTGGGCAGCTGGGGCCAGAGCTGCAACACCTTATTCTCCCCACAGCTGCTAGGGAGGGCCATCCTGCCTCAAAGCTCCCTGGACCCTGCCCCATCCACAGTCTCTTCCCTGCAACCCCCTCCTCCCCTCTACACACACTCACGAAAACCTCCCCCCAAGATCAGGGCTAAAGACCCCCCAGGAAGAGGCATCCCCCTCATCCCACGACCGTCCCCCTCCCTCTGCCAAGCCAGTCCAGCAGCCCCAGACCCCTGCTCCCTCCTCACCCCTCCGAGGACAGCCTGTGCTAGCTGTTAGCTGTCTCCATGGTAACAGCGTTCCCAAGCTCTGGGCTGGTCCCCGGAGAGGAGGCTCCTGGGAAATGTAGTCTTTGAGTTGTCCCGACTCCCTGGGCCAAAGTGTCCAGGTGATTAAACTTCCAGTTGTCAAACACAGCCTACAAGCAGATGATTATATTACAACAAAAGCAATAGGAGCTGGAAACTCACCCCTTCCGGATTTCCAGGCCCCTGTGGTGACACCCGCCTTGGGGAGAGGGATCCCTTCGCCTTAGTCAAATCAGTCGGGGGCTTACTGAGTGCAGGGGAGCTGCCGAGGGCCACACGCAGGGCCGTTCCTCCCAGCCGCTGTGGTTACTCACCCACAGCACCGCCTCGGCCCCTGCCTCCCAGCCACTGTGGCTTCCCTCCAGGGACACGGAGACCGGGGTGGCTGCTGGGGACAGGCTGGACCTCTGACTTAGCAGATGGCGCTCAGGACAAGGAAAACCCATCCATTACAGTAGGGGCCCAGAGCAGTGTTTATTTATTTATTTTAATTATTTTTTAAAGATCTATTTTATTCATTTATTTGAAAGGCAGAGTTACGGGGGGGGGGGGGGTTGAGTAGAGAGACCTTCTATCTGCTGGTTCACTCTCCAAATGGCTGCAACAGCCAGGGCTAGGCCAGGCCAAAGCCAGGAGCCAGGAGCTCCATCCGGGTCTCTCACAAAGGTACAGGAACCCAAGCGCCTGAATTATCTTCCACCGCTTTCCCAGGCTATTAGCAGAGAGCTGGATCGGAGATGGAAGTGGGGCAGCCAGGACTCAAATCAGCTGACGCTGACATCACAGGCCACAGGCCACAGGTGCAGCTTAACCCACTGCACCACAGCACCGGCCTGCCCCTGGCTTTAGATGCTGCGGCTAACCTCCCCCACTCCACGGCGTCTGCTGATGTCGGCTGAGGTGTCCTTGTCACACGGAACGCCTCGGCTGTGGGGTGGTGACGGGGATTAGCTGGTGGTCTGCTGTTTCCTGTTTGAGAAGCCCTTCCTCATCTTCCCCGTGTTAACCCTACAGCTCTCATGCTCACACCAGAGCTCCTCTCTGTGCCAAGGGGTACAGGCGACCGTGTTCATTCAGTCTCGCGATAACAAGCTGGTGTTCCTCCGGTGGCATCGGCGGCCACCCTCCCCGCGTGGCCTGCCATCCTTGCTGAGTGTCAGCTCACCAGGTGTCCACGGAGCTGACGCTGAGCCCTCTCTTCTGTTCCACTCGAGTCCTTTCCTATCCCTGCAGACTCCACGTTGGGCTTCTCACTCCGACTCTGTGATATCCTCTAGAGCCCGAGGTCAAGTCTAACTTCAACACCCACTCAGCGATTTCAGGCCAGTGGCCTCCACGAGGAGGGGCCAAAAATAAATAACTAAATAAAATGAGTTGAGATCTTTACTGGTATTGCATTGAATTAATGTGTGTCAAGAATTTCACGTCTTCCAATATTAAGGTGTCTACCCGAGGTAGGGCAAATGTGCCTTTTACTTCCGTGTATCGGTTGTGCTGTGATGACGATACCAGGGATGAAGAGAGCCAAGGCCCCTCCCTGCCGCACAGCCGGCTGGCCCCGGGCAGGTGACGGCCAGGTCACGCTCCAGCCTGGTCACATCCCTGTTGGGCTGGGGGCCAGGCCCTGCCCAGCCCTCATGGCCAGTCTCTCATGAGTCCTTTCTGTCCTCAGCTTGGGGGTGGGGGCGGCTACTGCCTGCTCTCCTTCCCAGGCTGAGAGGGGGAGGGGTGGGCCCTGGGCAGGGGCAGGATCTGGCCCCAAGGCCTGTGCTCAGCTGATGTCCCCCCACCCTCCGGGGCTGGTGGAGCCGCTCAGCGACAGTTCTGGGCCTGGGGTATGTTTCTGCCGTAGCACCTGTTGGCCTTAGGAAGTGTGCGCCACTTGGTACTGGGGGTCACTCTTTTAGGGACCCCAGCCCTGCAGCCCCCGCCTGGCCCTGGAGAGGGGAGCCAGCCGGCAGAGGAGCGCGTGCCCAGGTGGGCCACACCTACGTTCTCCACCAGCAAACCCGGCCGTCAGGGGCTGTGGTCCCATGTGCCCCTGAGCATGTGTGAGAAGGCTCCAGGCCAGGCTGTCTCTGGAGAGGTGGGGGGTGAGAGAGTTCCTGTGCCCAGGGAAGCTGTGGGGGAGGGACTGGCAGTCCCGGGAGGCTTCAGCCCTGCCTGTGGAGGGGCCGCAGGTGGACAGGCTGCTGGGCCTCTCCCAGCCTCGCTTTCCTTGTCCCAGCTCAGAGCTGGACTTTCTCTAAGCCGAGAGGGGCTTAGGGAGCCAGCTGCCTCCTGCTGGGCCAGTGCTGGGCACGTTGTCATTGCCACATCACTCAGCGCTCTCTGAATGAGGCGAGGACTTTCCAGTCCCCGTGTTATGGAGGAGAAACTGAGGATCAGCCAGAAGAGGTGATGGCTCAGCTCCCCGGCAGCAGAGCCAGGACCCCAGGCAGCAACAGCAGACCAGCTGTCCCCCAGGGTAGGAGCCAAGACCTTTGGCACGAGAGGTGCATCTGAAGCAAGCCCCCAACACCCCAAGCTTGCCTGTGGAAACAGATCACGTGGCTCAAGCGACGGAACGTCCACGCCCAGGGTTTCCCTCCCAGGGACGCAGCCATCTTGCACAAAGCAAAGACCGGCTTCCTGTCTTTCATCCGTCCCTTTCCTGGGCAGGAGGGAGGAGGAGGAGCGGGAGCACCTCCTGTTGCGGACACCAGCCAGCCCTCTAATCCTGGCAATGGCTTCTCACCTACAGAAAGCACTTGACAGCCGCAAGGCATGCTGGGAGGCCCAGGGCTTGGGAGTCAAGGCCGGAACTTGGGCCTGAACTTGGGCTCCAGGGAGGGGACTGAAGCCCATGCCCACTGCTCTCAGCCATCTCTCTGCCTCTGTTCTCCCTGTGTCAACTCATCTATTTAGTCTCTCTCTCTCTCGCCCTCTCTCTCTCTTTTTTTTCTCTCTCTGTCTCTGTCTCTATCTCTCTCTCATCTCTGCTTCTTTTAGTTTCCTAAGGAGGAAACCCACACATGGTTGTGAAATGGAGACAAACCTACTGGAATTGACACATGCAACCTGGGTCTGGCCCCAGATGCTCCCTTGGCTGAGGGCCCTGCTGGGCGGAGCCAAACTCACCCGAGGATGCATTCAGTCAGTCGACAAATATTTATTGAAAAATCTGTGCTGATATTTGGCTTGAAGTGTGCCAGGCCCTGTGCTAGGGTTGGGTTGGGCAGGTGGAGAAGGCATCAAGGTGGGTTCCTGCTCTACAGGCTGTGTGGAGGGTGCCCATCCTTTGCCTAGGCGGCCCCCGCCCCCACGCAGGTGCACAGGTGAGGCATGTACACAGAGCTCTGGGCCATTTGCCCTCCACCTACTAAGGTGACAGCAGGTCCAAGGTCAGCAGATCACCTGGCCGTTGTGGTGGGGCATGGGGGCTTGGCTAGAGGTGGCACAGCCACCAGGTGGTGCCTCTGAGAGTCAGTGTCCCCAAACACCTGGTGGGCTGGTAGCCCGGTGAATGGTGGGGTCTCTTCCATGAAGATGGGCCCTGGTGGGACAGAGACCTGAAGCAGGGTGCCTGGGAGGAGGGCTCCCCAAACAAGCATCCAGTTCTCAACTGGAGGGATTGGCAATCCCGGTCACCCAGGCGCGATGACTTCCTGAGGTCCCTCGGGTGCAGGCCATCATGGGTGTGACTGTGGAGGCATTGAGGAGGCGGGGAGAGCTGGAGTTCCTTAGGGGTGAGCCAACAAGGCACTCCCCTCTTTGGTTCAGGCCCGTGCTGTGACCAGCAGGTGGGCGGTGGCCAGGAGGCTGCCTTGTGACACAGGCAGCGCAGAAGGTGAAGTGGCTCTCTGTGATGGCAGGGGCTCAGGAGGATGGGGACTTGGTCTCCTGCAGTCCGGGTTTGTGGGCTCTCAGCCCATGGACAGATCTGGGTGGCATCCTCCAGGCCACGTGGTGCAAGCTGACCCCCAGCCCCCCAACTCCGCAGCCACATGGCACAGAGAAGGAGACTGGGGCCCAGAGGGAGGCGAAGAGCCGCCCCAAGGGCACCCAGCGAGCCGAGCTGTCTCCAGGGCAGGACCGTGGGCTCCTACTCAGGAGAGGAGGTGGGGGCCTGGTCCAGCCGGGCAGTGCCAGAGGAGGAGGTGGTGGCGCTCTGACCTGGCAGGTAGAGGACGGCGAACCAGAAGAAGATGAAGACACCTGTCAGCGAGGAGAGGGTCTGGCTGAGCCCAGGATGGGCTGGCAAGAGCACTGTGGGAAACATTTAAGAGCGTACAGAAAACCCAGGCAAAACCGAACCCACTCCTGGAAAAGAGCCAGACAGAAATAGTGGAAGTGAAAAACAGAGACCTTGAAATAACGTATGCACCAGGGAGGGGGTCTTCAAAAAGTTCATGGAAAACACGGCACCTTATAAAAAGCCACGCAGGCGTGGATTCCAGTGATTTTTGTGCCAAAAGGACCTGCTCTTTGAATCCCATCTCACACACCCCTTTGGACGCGCCTTCAGGCCCGTGTCCGTCCCAGGAGAGAGAGAGAGCAGAGCAAAGGACCCTTCAGACACACAGAGCGCCTCTGTCCCCACTGGCTCTGGGGTCAGGATGACCGTGAGGTCACTCCGGCAAGAGGAAGAGAGGCAGTGGAGGGTACGAGCAGTTACAGTAAGCACAGCCATCGACCCAGAGGTGATGCGATGGATAAGAATACTGGGGAGAGGGCGACGGGCAGCGGAAGTGCCCCGAGGACTCTGCCTGTGCCTGGGAGGAAGGGCCAGCACGGCGTGACACAGACACAGGTGACGCGGAGCCCTGGCGGGTGGAGGCTGCAGGCTGAGATACCAAGGCCCCTGTTGCAGCCATAACAGGGTGATCTCCCTAACTGTGAATCCCTGGGAGTTTCCAGACGTGGATTCAGGGTTCGTCATCTGTGAGGGACAGCCTCAGATGGCTTCCAAGCTGTCATTTCTGTTTGTGCTAACACAGTTCGCACCTGGTGGGATCTCCTGGGCTCCCACGTGTGTTATCACAGCTGTTCACCGTGCGGAGGCACTAGGATCATCCTGACTTGAGAGATGGATGAGGCTCAGAGGGGTTGGGAAGCTTGCTGGAGTGTGAGTGGAGCTTGGACTTGAACCCAGGTCTGTCTAGTCCCAACCACCAGGCCACACAGCTTCGTGGGCTCTGGGAGCCAGCCCTGGTCTTGAGGGCTTGCACCTGCCGTGGCTAGAATGCCTGGGTTTTTCTAGCGAGGGCTCAGGACAGGGGAGCTCTTTCCCTCTCTGTTGGTGGATGTGACCTCTTTGGAGAGCAGAGACAGCAAGTGCAGCAAGCAAACTGTGGCTCACGCTCTCGGCTCTCCCCTCTTTGCTGGGGTCTCCGAGCAAGGACTTGGGGAAGGGGGTCCAAGCAGCAAGAGTAGAAAGAAGGAGTTGCGGCAGGGAGAAGATGAGGGACAAACATAGCTCCCGGGATACGGATGCAGAAAACATCAGCTTCGGTTTGGGTGACGATCCTTGATCCTGTAGCAGCTCCCAGGAAGTGAGCCACCCTGGCTGCCCTGGATTCTCAGGAGAGCCCTGGGTATTTAAAATCACCCCCTTGATGCGAGCCCCTGGAGTGCAATCCTGCTTCTTGCCAACCACCCTCTCTCCCCACCTGCCATGCACCTGTCTCTGGTGTAGACAAAGCAGCTGGCACCACCCTGGCCCGGGAACCTCACCTTGCAGTGAGTTGAAAATAGCGAAGATGTAGATGGTGGACAGGCCCAGCGGTGTGAAGATGGCCAGCCCCCAGGTCATGCCCACCAGGCTCGAGAGCCCTGCCACGGTGAGGACCCCCTTCCAGCTCTGCCCCTGCTGCTTGCCCGCCGTGCTGCTTGACAGAGTGAAGATCTTCCACGCCACCAGGGCCAGGACCACAGCGCCCAGGAGGAAGGTGACCAGGAAGTAGCCGTGGACGGTGACATGGAGGGCGGTTTCTCCACGGAACCAGCACCTAGGGGAGGGGATGGCCATGGACACGGCCCCCAACAGCAAGCCTCAGGAAGTCTCCGCAGGGCAGGGGGGCCTTTGATGGCCGAGAAGCTACCTCTCCCAGCCCCACCCTCATTCCCTGCTCTCCCGCTGGGCAAGGGGCCCTCGCAGGTCCCCATCTGCTGTCTCCCTGCACCAACAGTGCCCAAGGGCCACACTAACCCCGAAGATGCACTTCACGTGTCCTGCATTTTGCTGCAAAAACCCATACCAGTGGCCACCCTTTAGAATCAGAGGTTGGACCCAAGCATCCAGAATTCTGCTTCTCTTACAAAACCGACTTTCCGGCCACTCTGTGGATGCCCTCTGCAGTCCCTTAGACATGCAAGTGACCACCAGCCCACGGCAGTCCCCACCTGTCCACTATGTGCATCTATGTGACCTGCCCAGCCCCTGTGCCCCTGGGGGCCCCCAGGGCCAGTCCAAGCCCCTCCTGGTTCACAGCCACGGGTCCAGTGGCAGGTGCCCCAGAGATTAGTGGGTGGGAGTCCGGAGGCTCAGCCCAGCGCCACTGCTCCCTGCCTCGCAGAGGCCAGCACCTGGAAGGGCGTGTCCACCAGCTCTTCCATTGTACAGAGGAAGACGGTCGCCCTTTGAGAGGATGGGCTTGCCAACGTCACACACACAGCAGTCAGGGTCAGAACCTGGACTAGACCCAGAGCTGCGGCAAATAGCTGGGCAGGCTGTGCTCTGCACAAGGCGCCCGGCCCAGTGGGGCAGGTGGGGGCTGAAGGCCTGCACGCCCTCCACTGCCCAGGCTGAGCAGCTGGCACGCGAGAGTCACCTCTGACATGGCCACCATACAGGCGAGTGGTGGCCCAGGTGACAGCAAAGCTTCCTGACTCCTCTCCCCTCTCAGGCACCCACTCACTTCTCCTGTCTCTCTAGGCCTCGGTGTCCCCCTGTGCCAGGCCCTAGCTGGATCTCAGAGTCCCTCTGGCCTGGATGGACCCGGTCTCTCTTGCCTGGGTTCCCTCCTCCCCTTCCTCCCTCCAGCCCCTGTATGTGAAGCCGGCTGCCATCACCCTGGCTCCCCGCAGCACCACTCACAGCTCCAGCGAGGTACGGTTGTCCTGGTCGCGGACGGTGTAGAGGCCGTAGCTGTTGGCACTGCCGGCGCCGATGACCATGAGGGTGGGCAGGCCTGGAGGCAAGGGGAGAGGCGTGGCCTTGTGTCCTCCTCCAAACCCCTCCAGCTGCTCAGCCCTTTGAGCCCTGAGCTCAGCTGAGAGAGGGGGGTCCTTGCCCCCTGTCCCCATAGCTATTACCCCCTAAGCCCCTCAAGTCAGCTGTCCCTGCTACCCACTCACAGAAGCACCTACCCCAGCCCACAAGGCTCAGCTTCAGGAAGTAGTGCCCGAAGTACGTGTTGAAGACCCGGATGGCGAGCAGGTAGAGGTGGAAGGCCTCCAGGCCCATCCAGGTGAAGGCAGCCAGCAGGAAGTAGTGGAAGATGGCGCCCCGGGCCCAGCAGGCGGCGCTGGAGCCCTCGGAGCCGCTCCCCACGTTGACCAAGAAGGCCAGATTGAGGAGGAACAGGCTACCGCTCAGGGCCACATGGATCTTGGGGGCGTCCTCTGACTTGAACCTCTGCCGGGAGAACCTAGGGCGAGAGGAGCCCGGCCGGGGTTCCAGGGGGCTGCAGCACCCCTGGAGCGCCCTGGCCTGTCCATTGCGTTCTTTTGGTTCCACCCCCATGGCCAGCACCCACTCCTGCCTGCAGCCAGCCTGTGAGCCCCACCAGGCTCGATCCCAGACCCCTCTGTGAGTTTCAGATCTCCCAGCCTCCACCCTTGCCTTCGTGCTGTGGCCCACCTGCGTCGTTTGCAATTCGTGCACGTGCGCTGCCTCCTCACACCTCCCAGGCTTAGCCCACGCTCTTCCCTCTGCTCTCAGTGCCCTTCCCTGCGCCTCAGCTCCTTCCCCGTGTTTGGCCTGACTCCTACTCTGCCTTCTGCACGGGCTGGGGTGCAGGGTTCCCCAAGAGCACTGTGCAACTCCACCCTGACCCTGACCCTGACCCTGACTGTGAACTCAGAGACCTGGCAGAGGGGCCAGTGCCAGGTGCTGGGTTCCTTGTTGAGTGAGTGGGCAGGCTGATGGACGAGGCCTAGGAGATGGTAGGCACAGGGGCTCAGAGGGGGCCAGGGACTTTCAGTGTCACAAACAGGGTCCCTGTCCAGTGCTTCTTTGCAAGGCTCAGCTCCCTCCCTATGGAGTCCCCACTCCAAGTTCTTAACAAATCAGATTCCAAAGGGCTCTCATCTGAGGCATGGGCACCCAGGGCTGCCTGGAGGGGGCATGAGAGATGCCAGTGGGCTCGCCTGAGAGGCCAGGCCCTACCCCTGGGAGCTGGTGACAGGGTGTCACTTGGCCTGAGCCCGGGACAGTGGGGCTGTGGGATCCACTGCCCCTTCTTCTGGAAACAGCCCAGGCACCCCAAAGGAATACCCTTCCCACCAGCAAGCATCCAGTTTAGGGGTCAGGGTGGTGGCCAGTCCTTTGTTAGCTCAAATCCAGGAGCAGGCACTTGACCTGGCTTGGCCAATCTGTGTATCCCTTCCTTCGACCACAGCGAGCCATTGATCCCAGCTTAAACTCAACTCTGGTGCACATGGGGTAGAACTGCATGGACTCCACACACACACAAACACACACACACACACGCAGGTGTCCTGGGCAAGTGGCTGTGCAGGGCCTGGGTTCAGAGAGCCCATGCTTGGTTTAAGGTTCTGCCATTGTCATCTTGAAGTTCTCCACCACAGTTTGGAAGAGGGGCCACGTGTTTTCACTTTGGACTGGGCCCTGCGCGCCAGGCTTCCCGCCCTGCACCCTAGGCTTCCCGCCCTGCACCCTGACACGCGCACACGCAGGGCCGGAGGTTTCCACAGGGAAAAGGGAGCCGCGTGTATTCCAGCCAGCAGAACCGTGCCTCGCTCAGCTGCCCGGGTTTGAGGCTGTGCTGGGATTCTAGGAGACGCCACCAGCAGGTGAGCGGGCGGAGGACACTGTGCGATCCTCTGTGCTATTTTGGCAATTTCCAGTTAGGCTGGCTATACTCCACAATTGTTATAAAATCCCTCCATTCTGGGATTTAGTTCGGAATACTCAGGAAGAGGAGAGAGACGGCTTTCATGCCCGCCTGAGAGCCAGGAGCTGTGATGTAAGCCTGGGGCTCATAAGGCCCCCGAGTGTGGAGAAGCTGCCTGACCCAGCTGACAAAGCTGCAAGAAGCAGCCAGAGGTCAAGTCGCTGCTGGGGATGCCAGCCTGAAGTCCACGTTCTTTGAGTGTTTCCATTACCCAAACCACTATTTTGTTTAAGCCAATTGAGTTGAATTTCTGCACCTGCCACTCAAGTCGCCCTCACCCATTTTTTTTTTTTTTTTGACAGGCAGAGTGGACAGTGAGAGAGAGAGACAGAGAGAAAGGTCTTCCTTTTGCTGTTGGTTCACCCTCTAATGGCCGCTGCGGCCGGCACTCTGTGGCCGGTGCATCGCGCTGATCCGCAGCCAGGAGCCAGGTGCTTCTCCTGGTCTCCCATGCGGGTGCAGGGCCCAAGCACTTGGGCCATCCTCCACTGCACTCCCGGGCCACAGTAGAGAGCTGGCCTGCAAGAGGAGCAACCGGGACAGAATCTGGCGCCCCGACTGGGACTAGAACCCGGTGTGCCAGCGCCGCAAGGCGGAGGATTAGCCTATTGAGCCACGGCGCCGGCCACCCTCACCCATTTTGACCTCCACCCCATTTGCAGGTGAAGAGAACAAGGTGTGGAAAGGATGTCACTAGAGGTTGCACAACCAGGGAGCTCGCTGCCCTGTGGCCCCTTGAAGGCAGGAGGGAAATGCACAGGGAGGGGGGGCATCACCCACCTCAGGACAGCATACATGACAATGGTGAAGGCCAGGAAGACCATGGAGACACTGCAGCCCACCTGGGAGATGCGCGTGAGGACCTGCGCGGTGGCCCGGTCCAAGATCGGCCTCTGTAGATGACCCCACACACCAGGACCGGTCAGAACGACGCCAGGTCCATGCAACGCAAAGGCCCCCACCCTGCCAGGCAGCCCCCGGGACTCCCGGGATGCAGGAGGGGTGGGCTGTTACCAGGAGCAGCGCGAAGAAAGTCAGGTGGTCGCAGAGGCAGACGGTCCCTTCGGTCCTGCGCTCCGTGAAGCAGCCCCTGGAAGCCCATTCTCCTGGGGAGGCAGGGAGAGGAGAGGCTCCACCCACCGAGGGGGCCCAACCCCTCCCTGCCTGCCTGACCCCAGGCCCACAGGCCCTACCTTTGGTCACATCCCAGAATACGCAGGTGAGGGTCAGGTTCTGAAATCAGAGTGCGGGAGTCAGGAGAGTGGAGCGGGGAGGGGAAAGGGAGGAAGAGTGGCACAGTGTGCTCCCGAGGTCTTAGCTTATGTGCACCCCCCCCCCGTGGGCCTTACAGGAAAACTAACTGGCGTCATCTGACATGGCCTGGATCAGTGGGTGAGAGGCACCGACACGGTGTGGGGCTGGGCTGGGAGGGCTTGCGTGCGTGTGCGCCGTGCCTGTAGGGAGCAGGTGGGCGGGCAGGTGCGGGCAGGTGCATGCCAGTGAGTTGGCCGGGTCCTGTGTACACTCACTGAGCCCAGGAGTGGGCGGAGTCTTGGGCACCTGTGCACAAGACAGTCTTGTGTCTCGGGGCAGAGGAGGGTGCACGGCCCCAGTGGCTTCTCCTGGGTGCGTGTGGGAGAGCATGGGGTGCAGAGGTCCCAGAGAGTCTGCTCTGAACCCGTATGCCCACGTGTGCCGGCCCTCCCTGGCCCACAGTGATGGCGGGCAGGGGGAGGGAACTCACGGGGGGCTGGCGTGGGTGGGAGAAGGTGATCTCCAGGGGCTCAGCCAGCCCGGTGACAGCCGTTTGGCTCACACTCAAGCCCACCAGTCGGTTGTTCAGCACGTGGCTGCCATCTTCCAGGCTGAGCTGGGGACCCTGGGAGGGGAGACAGGGAGGCCAGGCTGCAGCGGGGGCTGTCCCAACCCAACCCTGGCTGGGGGTCCTGGGGCCCTCAGAACCCGTGGCCCTTGCCTGGAGGGCCAAGTCTGTGGTCAAGGTGCTTCCTGCTGCTGCCCACAGTCTCCGGCTTGGGAGGGGCCAGTCCCTACACCCCTAGGTCAGCCAGCCGCAGAGCCGTGCACTTGCCGGCTCTCCATGGCTAGCTGCCAGGGCTCCCCTGTCCTCTAAATGAGAGGGTGCAGGGCCAAGCTCAGGGAGAAACGGGGGCAGAGGGGCCCTATGGGTGTGTAAGTGAATACATCCGCACATGCGTGGATACACACTCTGCTGTGCGCATGCAGTACACACGTCTGCCAGGGCGTGGCTGCACCTGCTCATGTGGACACAGTCACCCGTGAGCACGTGATGTTGCACGTGCACAGGCATAGCCAAGCTTAGGCACGTTTGCGCATGCATGAGGGCGTACGGACATGCTGGGGACACGTATACAAACTGAAGGAACTGGCTTGTGGGCTGCCGGTGGCCATCTACAGTCTACACGCTCCAGAGACCGGGGTGGCTGGGGGCTGCTCCACCCCCCTGGAGCCCTCCTCCAGCACAGGCAGGCTAGGGCATGGGACCCTGGGTCCCCAGCTGGCCTCTCCTCACCTTGAAAACAGTCCCCGGACCGATGTCCAGAACCATCACGGCCAATCGGATCATGGACCTGTTGCCCGGCAGAGAGCGGAAAAGGCTCTTGGGCAGTCGGACTCCGTTGGAGGGCTTGTCCTTGCCCTGCGCCATCCGCCTCGGAACCTGCACCACAGGCCCAGCAGTTCCCACCTTTACCCAGGAATTCCGCCCCGCACACCCCTGAGACCCCCACCACCACCACCACCACCACACACACACTATAGGTCTTGCCGATGCCACAGTTGGGAGGGGACACTGAGGTGTGCAGGGTGGAGGAGGGGCAGCACCCTGAAGGCTTCAGCTCTGAGAGACAGGACACCTGGGCAGAGGCTGCACTCTGCTCCTCACAGCCTGTGAGCCCCAGGACATTACAGTGAACGTGGAGCCTCTGTTTGCCTAATACGGAGAATGGAGCCGAGCAGGTGCCTCACAGCCACTTGTCTGGTGGGAAATGGTGTGAGCAGACCAGGCCGGGCCAGCTGGGTTTGCAAGTGTGGGGAGGGCCCCAACAACCCCTGTGTGTACACAGAGCTCTGCCTCCTGGCTTGGAAGCCGTGGGAAGCAGGACGTCAGGGGCAGAAAGTCCAGGCGGACGACACTGAACGTGAAACCCTCTCCATCCGACAGCGACACAGGGAAAAACCTCAGCATCGCCAGGAGACTGTGCTAACCTCGGCGCTAACTACAAGGCACATTTGGTGTATTCTCTGGTTCCCTGACTCTCCTAGGGCCGTAGCCCCATCCTGCCCGGGGCAGCCCTTGTGCACTGGGAGCTGAGACTTGGAGTTGAAGGCCCAGACCTTCTCCAAAGCGCATGTGGGTGATTTCTGGGGCCTGCGCACACCCCACGCAGAGGGCTTCGCTGCTTGGGTGACATAATAAAGAGCCGAGGTGGGGCCGGTGCTGTGGCACAGCAGATTAAACCACCGCCTGCCATGCCGGCATCCCATAGGGGCACCATTTCAAACCCCGGCTGCTCTACTTACGACCCAGCTCCCTGCTGATGTGCCTGGGAAAGCAGTGGAGAACGGCCCACATCCCTGAGTCCCGGCACCCATCTGGGAGACCCAGAAGTGCCTGGCTCCTGGTTTTGGCCTGGCACAACCCTAGCTGTTGAGGCCATTTGAGGAATGAACTAGCGAAGATCTCTCTCCTTGTCTCTCCTTGTCTCTCTGTAACCCTACCATTCAAATAAGTAAATAAATCTTTAAAAATAAAAAAGAGCTGAGAAAGGCCCTGACTGCCCGCTATTTCCCCCATGTAGCCAGATGTCAAAGTCCCTTGGTGACAACCCACCTGCCCTGCCCTGCTGCCTGATCAGGGGTCCCTGGACCAGAGAGGCTGAGCTCTCACTGCACCTGCCCCTCCCCGTAACCTTGGCGATGGGCAACACCTTTGGAATTTTACAGACGGAGAACTTGGGGCTCAAAAAAGTCAGTTGTCCATAATCACAGTGGCCGCTGAGGGGCAAAGCTGGGACTCAAACCCAGGCCGATGTAATCCAGTCTGCTCGCTGAGCCCCCTTCCTTGCTGCCACATGTGTTCCTGGTGGAGGGGCCCATGGGGGTGTTAGACTCAGAGGAAACATGGAGTGCATTCTACACAAGACCCCAGGGCCCCAGGAAGCAGAGGTGTTTCCTGAAGGAGCGGTCAGGGTGGAGGACCCGGGACTAGAACCTGCATCTCCTGACCCTTGTTCAATGATCTCCGCCCCTGGATAACCAGTGCCAGGGCCCGCCTGTGCAGAGAATCCACCAGCACCCAGTGCCAGTGGGCAGAGCCCTACCAGATGGGATGGGGAGGGCGGAGCCTTGAAGGATGGCTTTCCCAGGACGAAGTGGGGGCGGGGCCGCTCCTCACCTTGGAGGGCTTCAGGGAGAAGTGCAGGTCCTCCGCGCTGTCGGCACTCAGGTTCTGCACCACAGCCTTGACGAAACCCAAGTCCACCTCGCCCTTCAAATTCTCCACCAGGTGCTTCTCATAGTTGAGCCAGTATCTGCAGGGGTCAGGGGTCAGGGGTCAGGGGAGGCTAGGATCTTGCCGTCTGAGCTACCCATTCGTCAGGCTCTTGGGGTGACAGGGCTGACCCAGAACACCAAAGAGCATACTCTGGGGTCACTGTGGGAGGGTAAGGACAGCTGGGTCCCCAAGGATTCCGGCTAAAGACCTGAGCACCTGATGGGCTTGTCCTTCTCTTTTGATAAAATAATGCAACATAAATGTAACACGTTTACCATCCTAAAGTGTCTAACTCAGTGGCACTGAGCGGATGGAGACCTCTTCACCACGCTGTGCAATCATTGCCTCTATTGAGTTGCAGAATTTTTGCATCACCCCAAAGGAAGCCCCACACCCATTCAGTAGCCACTAACCCCCGCTTCCCCCAGCCCTGGCAACGCCAATCCGCTGTCTTCGTGGCTTGCCTGTTGCAGATATTTCATACAAATGGAATCCTGTAATAGGAGCCCTTCCGTACTTGGCTCCTTGTACTTAGCCAGGCGCTCTCAAGGTTCTTCTGTTACAGCTCCGTGCATTTTCCTGGGTGAACACTATTTCGTTGTATGGCCATTCCACATTTCAGCACACATGAATCCTTCGATGGATAGCAGCCCTGTCTGCTTCTCGGTTGTTGTGAGTAATCCACTAAGAATATGCACGCCCAAGCTCTGGTGTGAAGGCTTGTTTAAAATTCTCTGGGGTATTGACCTGGGCGTGGAATGGCTGGATCGCAGGGTAATTCCTTGTGTAACTTCTTGAGGAACTGCTGTTTCTCACGGTGCCTGCACCATTTGACATTTGTACCAGCAGAGCAGGAGGGCCCCAGCTTCTCCACACCCGGGCCAGCGCTTGGTAATTTTTTCTCCTTTTTTGTTCTGTTTTTAATTATAGCCAGCTTCTCAGGTGTGCGGTGGTATCTTTTTGTGATTTTTTTTGCTTTTTTTAATTTTTAGAAAGATCTTCCATCCACTATTTCACTGGCCAAATAACAGCAATGGCCAGTGTTGGACCAGGCTGAAGCCAGGAGCCAGGAGCTTCTCCCACGCAGGTATAGGGGTCCAAACACCTGGGCCATCTTCCACTGCTTTTCCCAGGCCTTTATCAGAGAGCTGGATTGGAAATGGAGCAGCTAGGACTTGAACCAGTACCCATATGGGATGCCAGCATCTCAGGCAGCCGCTTTACCCGCTACATCAAAACATTATTGTGATAATAAAATCCATTTACTTTGGGCCGGCACTGTGGTGTAGTGGGTAAAGCCGCCACCTGCAGTGTCGGCATCCCATAAGGGCACCGGTTCGAGTCCTGGCTGTTCCACTTTTGATCCAGTTCTCTGCTATGGCCTGGGAAAGCAGTGGAAGATGCCCCAAGTCCTTGGGCCCCTGCACCCACGTGGGAGATCTGGAAGAAGCTCCTGGCTCCTGGCTTTGGATCGGTGCAGCTCTGGCAGTTGCGGCCAATTGGGGAGTGAACCAGTGGATAGAAGATCTCTCTCTCTCTCCCTCTCCCTTTCCCTCTCCTTCTCTCTCTGTGTAACTCCAACTTTCAAATAAATAATTTTTTTTTTAAATGTATTTATTTGAGGGGCTAGCACTGTGGCATAGCAGGTAAAGCTGCCGTCTGCAGTGCCAGCATCCCATATGGGTGCTGGTTCAAATCTTGGCTGCTCCACTTCCAATCCAGCTCTCTGCTATGGCCTAGGAAATCAGTAGAAGATGACCCAAGTGCTTGGGCTCCTGCACCTATGTGGGAGACCCAGAAGAAGCCATTGGCTCCTGGCTTCAGATCAGCACAGCTCCAGCCGTTGTGGCCATTTGGGGAATGAACCAGTGGGATGGAAGACCTCTCTCTCTCTCTCTCTCTCTCTCTCTCTCTTTATTTCTCTCTGCCTCTGCCTCTCTGTAACTCTGCCTTTCAAATAAATAAACAATTTTTTTTAAAATTGTATTTATTTGAGCAGCACAGAGACAGACAAGCAAAGAGAGCTTGCATCTGCTGGTTTACTTCCCAGATACCCGCAATGACTGGGGCGGGGCCAGGCTGAAGTCGGGAGCTGGCAACTCAATCCTGGTCTCCCACATAGGTGGCAGGACCCAACTCCCGGAGTCGTTACTGCTGCCTCCCCAGGGTGCACACACCAAAAGCTGAGTCAGGAGCTGCAGCTGGGAATCAAACCCAGGCCTCCTGACGTGGGACCAGGCGTTAGCCAGCATCCTGACCACTGGGCCAGGCACCGCCTCCCGCTGTGACTTTACTGGCATTCCCCTAGTGACTAAGATGCTAAGCAGCTTCTCCTGTGCTTGGTAGCCCTTGCATAACTTATGTGGAGGAATCTGAGTATTTTAAACTGTGGGATAACTGGGGGGCTTGTGTAAGCACTGTCGGCACATGCGCTGAGTGCTAACTGGGTGCTGGAAATCCAGCCTTTGAACAGGCTGTGTGGAAAGGGAAGCGGTGCTGGAACCCCTCAGGTCGCAATGGTTGCCCCTTTGCCGCTGCTTCCGGCTACCGAGGCCGGCTGCTGACGCTCTCCACGGTGCTGAAACGTTTCTGTGCACCAGCGAACGATCTGGAGTGCCGAGAGCTGCCTCCCAACCTTTCTCAGCAATTCCTGTGCTCTCAAAACATCATTAAGAAAAATAAAAATAAAAAAACTCATAGGACAATGAGCAAAATAATTAAAAGGGCTCTTACAAGAAGATATTAAAATGCCAAATAAATACAGAAAGGGTGTTAAGCCTCCAAGTCGTCTGGGAAATTAAATCACTCTGAGATACACGAGCAGCCAGCCAGAATGGCTACAGTGAACCAGCAGACAATATTAAGTGCCGTCAAGGCTAAGGAGCAGCTAGGGCTGGCATACCTGCTGGTGGAAAGGGGATCTGGCTCAACCATTTTGGAAAACCACTTGGCAGTTGCTTTCACACGACTTTACCCTGAATCACCAATTCTGTGCCTAGGAAAATACCTTACAAAAACATGCATGTTCACCAGAATACATTAGCCGAATATTCATAGCAATGCTGGGGCCGGTGCTGTGGCGCATCATATTAACGCCCTGGCCTGAAGTGCTGGCATCCCAATTGGGTGCCAGTTCTAGTCTCAGCTGCTCCTCTTCCGATCCAGCTCTTTGCTATGGCCTGGGAAAGCAATAGAAGATGGCCCAAGTGCTTGGGCCCCTGCACCCACGTGGGAGACCCGGAGGAAGCTCCTGGCTCCTGGCTTCGTATCGGCGCAGCTCTGGCCACTGCAGCCTACTGGGGAGTGAACCAGCAGATGGAAGACCTCTCTCTCTCTCTGCCTCTCTTTCTCTCTCCGTGTAACTCTGACTTTCAAATAAATAAATAAATCTTTAAAATTTAAAAATAAAAAAATCTTTAAAAATCTTTAAAAACTATATAGCATTGCTATGAATATTAGTATAATACAGAAACTACAGCCAAATATCCACCAACAAAGCAGACTGGATACAAGACTTGTGCTATCTGTGAGAGTACTTCTAGAAGCTCATGGAAAATAGAATTAAAAGATAAATTTAGGCCGGCGCTGCGGCTCACTAGGCTAATCCTCCGCCTTGTGGCGCCGGCACACCGGGTTCTAGTCCCGGTTGGGGTGCCAGATTCTGTCCCAGTTGCCCCTCTTCCAGTCCAGCTCTCTGCTGTGGCCCGGGAGTACAGTGGAGGATGGCCCAAGTGCTTGGGCCCTGCACCTGCATGGGAGACCAGGAGGAGGTACCTGGCTCCTGGCTTTGGATCAGTGCAGCTTTGGCCATAGCAGCCATTTGGGGGATGAACCAATGGAAGGAAGACTTTTCTCTCTGTCTCTCCCTCTCTTTCACTGTCTAACTCTGCCTGTCAAAAAATAAATAAATAAATTTAGGGGCCAGTGCTGTGGCATAGTGGGTAAAGCCACCACCTGCAGTGCTGGCATCCAATATGGGCACTGGTTTGAGTCCTGGCTGCTCCACTTCCAATCCAGCTCCCTGATAATACACTTGGGAAAGCAGTGGAGGATGGCCCAAGTGCTTGGGTCCCTGCAACCTCATGGGAGACTCAGAAGAAGCTCCTGGCTCCTGGCTTTGGATTGGCCCAGCTCCAGCCATTTCGGCCATTTGGACAGTGAACCAGCGGATGGAAGACCTCTCTCTCTCTCTGCCTCTGCTCTCTGTAAGTCTGCCTTTCAAGGTCTTTTTTTTTTTTTTTAAAAAAAAAAAGATAAATTTATTTTGATGCGAAAACTTTGAAATTCATGCATTGTGTTTTCATAATATGCATTTTCCAGGAACTTTTTTGGTAGATCCTTTGCATATGACATAAAAAACAAAAAAGTAACATCAGAGTGAAAATAACAGTTATTGCTGGGTGCTAAGGTTGGGGGAGTTTGCATTTTCCCTTCTAGAGCTATCTTCTAAAAACTTTATGGTAAATATATAATACTTCATTATCAGAAACTCATTAAAATAAAATATACTAGCATTTAGTGAGCTCCTACTGTTTGCCGATAACTTTTTTAAATTTTTTTTTAATTTGACAGAGTTAGACAGTGAAAGAGAGAGAGAGAGACAGAGAGAAAGGTCTTCCTTCCATTGGTTCATCCCCCAAATGGCCACGACGGCCGGCGCGCTGCGCCAATCCGAAGCCAGGAGCCAGGTGCCTCCTCCTGGTCTCCCATGCAGGTGAAGGGCCCAAGCACTTGGGCCATCCTCCACTGCCTTCCCGGGCCACAGCAGAGAGCTGGACTGGAAGAGGAGCAACCAGAACTAGAACCCAGCGCCCATATGGGATACCGGCACCACAGGCAGAGGATTAACCAAGTGAGCCAAGGCGCCGGCCCCAGCTGATAACTTTTTTTTTTTTTTTTTGACAGGCAGAGTGGATAGTGAGAGAGAGAGACAGAGAGAAAGGTCTTCCTTTTTGCCGCCGTTGGTTCACCCTCCAATGGCCGCCATGGCTGGTGTGCTGCGGCTGGCGCACCATGCCGATCCGAAGGCAGGAGCCAGGTGCTTCTCCTGGTCTCCCATGGGGTGCAGGGCCCAAGCACTTGGGCCATCCTCCACTGCACTCCCTGGCCACAGCAGAGAGCTGGCCTGGAAGAGGGGCAACCGGGACAGAATCCGGCGCCCTGACCGGGACTAGAACCTGGTGTGCCGGCGCCACTAGGTGGAGGATTAGCCTATTGAGCCGCGACACCGGCCTCTGATAACTCTTAACATGCATTGCCTGATTCAGTGCCAGCAACAACCTGTGGGGAAGGTGTGAGGGTCAGGAACAGGCCTTGGAGTGGAAATAACAGTGCTGCTGCTGAGATGGTGCGGCCTGCTAACGTGTCTGAACGATAGATTTCATGCTCACAAGACCTCTCTGGGTTCAATGATATTTTAGTTCCATTTTACAGATGGGTAAGCTGCAAGCCGACCTGTCCAGAGTCCAGTGCCACTTTTGAGCACTGGCAGTCTGATTCTAGTCTGTTCTACACTGTGTGTCTCTGGTAGAACCTCCCAGACCCACGTTTGTGTTTGATTTTGCTACTTGTCTGCTGTGTAACTATCCACAGATCATTTAACTTTTGTAGCCTTGGTTCTTTCATCTGAAAAATGGGCCGATAACATGACCTACTTCACGGGGTTGCTTGGAAGGGATGGTTGGGAACAGAAGCCAAGGCCCCTGCTTTTTCCAAGGTGTAAGGCAGCACTAGGCAGAGCCCCGGCTTCTCGGGGCTACAAAGCTACTGGAGCAGCTGAGGGTAAGGATGGGAGCGGGCTCGGGTCCCGAGACCGCGGGATTCAGGCCGTTTGCTGCCGTGACCCGCGCCTGGGTGCACAGGGCGTCCGCTCCTTCCTTCCACGGATATTTGCTGAGGACCGACCACAAGCCAGATGCTTTTCTGGGTGCCCAGAAGACGTGGGCAGCTTTGAATTGCTGTGAGAGGAGAAGGAGGGAGCTGGAGAGATCTTTGGAGATGACTTCACGACGTTTTCTAAACTCCTCCTCGGCCTCTCATCCACATCTCACCTGGCTCTGGGTCTCACTGGGGCTTCAGCATCCGCCCTCACCCGCCCACCGCTCCTTCTCAGGTGCCGGCGCGGCGCGGCGTGGCATGGCGTGGCGTGGCGTGGCATGGCGTGGCTGGCGGGTCAGCCCCTCGCCCTTACCAGCATCCTGCCTGGCCATGCCTCCCCCTGCCTCGCCAGCCCCGCGTCCTGCCCCGAGCCCGCAGTCTGAGCAGTCCAAGATGCAAAGCGGCCCACGCCCCTTCTGTGCTTCAAATGCGTCACTTCTAGGGAGGGCGCTGGCCTGGTGGTTAAGCCCAGCGTGAATCCAGCTCCACTTCAGACTCCACCTGCCCGATAATGTGCACCCTCAGAGGCAGCAGGTGATGGCTCAAGTCCCAGGGCCCCCGGCACCCGTGTGGGAGACCCGGATGGAGTTCCAGGCTCCTGGCTTCAGGATGGGCCAACCATAGCTGTTGTAAACATTGGGGGAGTGAATCAGTGGATGGAAGATAAATCTCTCTCTGTCTCTCTCTCTGTCTCTGTCTCTCTCAGCCTTTCTAATACAGATTTCGCTGCTCTCCCACACTGTTCTAGCTCCCACAACCCTTCTCACCTTAGCCCCTGCTTAGATGAGGTTCCTTCCAAGAGCTCATGGAAAACATGGATTATGGAAAAACCATGCAGATTTCAGCATTTTTGCACTACAACAAACTTATCTTTTTGTTCCATTTCCACAAACTTTCTGAAGTGGCCCACACTCTCCCCCACCTCCCCGCGGGGAGCTCCGCGCCCAGACGTTCTGCTGCCTGTGACACCCACCATGGCCTGAGCCTAACTGGAAAACTCCTGTGCACACTTCAAAGCCCTTCCATGGGTTGCCTCCGCGGAGCCTTGGCGGCCTTCTTTCCTCCAGGCTAAACCGATGCCTGGCCCACCCTCCTGCCTGCTCACACCGTGGAGTCGTCATTTGGGTCAGGGTCTGACCGTCCGTCCACTGCTCCCCAGGGCATGGGCAGGGCAGGTTCAGCTCCCTGGGGTCAGCAGGGCCTCGACCCCCGGGCAAGGGGGTGACAGGTCAGGGGCGTGTGGGCATCAGGCAGCAAGGGGGAGGGTGGGAGGGGAGCAGCATTCCCGGGCCGTGGGCGCAGACGGCCTGGGCCCTCCCTGACAGCCCCAGCCCCTGCCCGGAGCCCCCGACGCCCGCTCCCGCTGGGGCGCCTCTCACCTCTCCAGCTTCTCCACGTTGCAGGACTCACTCTGCCGCCGCCGACACCTCTGGAAGCACTTGGCGGTGTCGCTCAGGAAGAAGGGGTCATACTGGTCGGCCCCGAGGAGCCCCAGGCAGACGTTCCGTGGCCCCTCCGTGGGCTTCTCCCCTGGGGGGACGCAATGTCACTGGGCTGCACCGGAAGGGGCCGGGAGCTCACACAGTCCGGTGCTGTGTGCGGGCTAGAATCCAGCTCCTCCCACCCACACCACCTGTGCCCCTGAGCTGGGCTGCGGCCCCCCTGGGCCTTGGTTTCTGAGGTGACGTTACCAGCTGCCCCCCTTGTCACCTCACAGGGCTGGGGGATGCTTCGGGGCAAGAGTGTACAAAGGGCTTGCACATGGCTCTGTGGACAGAAGGTCCGGATGTTAGTGCGATTGCTCCTTTCCTTTCCCACCTCCTCCAAGAAGCCCGCCTGGACTTCCACACTGTTCCAGGTCAGATTTCCCAGAGCCCTTGCAGCGATGGCCTCAGGGGACAACTCTTGGACGTATTCAGCCTGGTTTGCCACATTGTCCCACATCCACGTTACAACCTCACAGCCACCTCTTGAGTAGAGGGTCCAGCAAAGACAGACCCCGGGATCACAGTGATCTGAGCATGGTTCCAGCCCACTGGAGGCTGCCCCAAGACTGGAGAGCAGCGACTGTGACTTCTGGCCCAACACGGGGACAGGGTAGAAGCCCTGGGCCACTCGCTGGCTGTGTGTCCTCAGGCTAGGGACTTAAACTCTCGGAGTTAAGTTAATCTCATTAGCAAAATGAGGGCTACTCAGGCCTTGCTTGCACGTTTTGGGGGAAGATTAGAGATAATACGATTGAAGCACACAGCCACTGTGGGTGTTCGGAGAGCCGCTACCATGTCTTCCAGGAGACAAGAATTCCGTCCTGAGACTATACACTCACGCTCTGCCGTCGACGCCTGGATGCGTCCGTCTCCTTGTGGTTATGGAGCTCTCAACAAAGGGAGCTCACGTGCTGAGTTTAACCCCTGAGCCGTGCATGAGGACCTAAAATGCGAAGTGGGAGTTCCTCTCGCTGCAGCTCCCGGGCCACACTCCAGAGTTCACCCTTTGACAGTTGGCTGCACAACCTTCCAGAAGCGGTCTACGCACATGCAGACATTTATCTGTAGGTCGCTGGAGACAGTGGGATTACGTGGCGAGGTGCCGGCGGAGCTCCCACGTCACTCTTGGTGCAGCCGACCCGCCTCGCTGGGTCAGTCCGCTCTCCGGCTGTTGCAACATTTTTCAACTGAATCCCCTGTCAGGGGACATTTCAAACTTTTAAGGTTTTTTTCTTTCCTAGTCTCAACAACGCTGCCTTGAGAATTCTTGAGTGTGCATCTTTGCCATTTTGTGCTTAGATGTATAGAAAACTTTCCCATCATAGAAGCTTCCCATCATGCTTTGGGGGTGGGCACCGGGGTGCCATGGTTAAGACCCGGCCTGGGAGGCCAGCATGCACACTGAGTACCTGGGTTTGAGTCTCAGCTCCTGATTCCAGCTTCCTGCCAATGGACACCCTGGGAGGGAGCAGGGGATGGCTCAAGGACCTGGCTCCCTGTCACTCATGTGGGTGACCCTTAGTGGGTTCCCACGCTTGGCTTCAGCCCAGCACAGTCCCAGCTGTTGTGGGCGTTTAAGGAGTGAGCCAGCATATGGAAGCTCTCCATCTGTCTCTCTGCTTTTCAAATAAATAAATTTTCACATCATTTTAAAGATTGCTAGGTTTTGTTGAACTTTAGTCCAGCAAGGTGCACCTGCGGATACCTCCCCCCCCACCAAGAGGCAGCACACCCATAATCCTAGGTTCTACCAAGCTTTCCATTTTTGCGCCCATCTGAGAGGTGAAATTAAAGCTCATTTTGATTAAAGAAGGGCTTTGAGCATCTGTCTGGGTGCCCACCCTCACCGCGCCCACGAGCGCCCCCTTCTGTGTACGCAGCCACATCCTGACTCGTCCGGGCGGGAGGAGCCATGACCTCCCAGAGTGGCCAGCAGGAGCTGTCAGGGAGCTGCCCCTGGGGTGGGCAGTGCTAGGGCCAGGTGGCGGGGGATGTCGCTGTCTGTTCTTCATGCCCTTCTCTGGCGTTCGATGTGTGAGAACTTACTTTCACCACTTAAAAGAACCACTTAAAAGTTCACTCTCAATCATTAGGACAAAAAAATAAAATATGCGGTAAAGATAATGGGAGAGCAGAGTAGACGTAGAATTTTCAGTGGCTTTTTACAGTAGATTCTACTGTGATCAGATTTATGTGACGATGCTGTTTTAACGGAAAGAACTGTACATGTCCATCAGCAGCTAAAGAGATTTACGATGCGTCCACTCGCAGGAGGCGAGGGGTCTGGGGCGCTGCCACCCCCCCCGAGGGGTGAGGAGGAGGTGCTGGGTGCGGGGCCGCCCTGGGGGGGCCGCAGAGCGCCGGTCAGGTCCGCGTGAACATCAGCACAGTCGCACGCTGACGCTCTGGGCACGCACGGCAGAGACGATGATCAGGATCTTTCCTGGGGTTATCTTTGGAAGATGCTGGAAGCATCTCGTCCAGGCCAGGAGACCCTGAACGAGGCCTGTGTGTGTGTCCTGGGGGGTGGGGGGCAGGCGGGTGGCACCTCCCCACCCTCCAGACCCCTCCCATATCCGCCCCACAGGCTGCCCCCTCACTTTGGGTTCAGCAAAGGAGGAGGAGTAGGTGGAGGTCGGGGCGCGGAGGGGGCATTTTCCTCCCACCCACTGCCCCTCCAGTCCCTCCCCAGCAGCTCCCCAGGGAGGCACAAGGCACGCTGGGCCTCCTGCAGCCGCAGCCCCCTGCCCTCTGTTCCCCCCCACTCACCACTCCCTGCCTCAGGTGCGCAAGCCCCCTTTTGGGCTCCTTCCCCTTTGCAAAGTTCCCTCCACGAAAGCCCCTCCACTCTGTCTCCTGCTCGGCCCTCCCTGTGGGTCCCCGGGCTGGTCCCCACCGCACCCCGGGACTCCTCTGAACGCACCCCCACCCACTACAGCACAGGGTCTGGCGCAAAGCAGAGGGTACCATCAGCTGAATGAATGGATGAATGAATGAGCGAGCAGGTGGGTGACTCACCCAGGAGCATCCACGGAGGAAGGTGTCTCATCTCTCTGTGTAAACCTCCCCCACTCCTCCCACCCCTCAAGGGCTGCGGCTACGTCCACAGCAGAGCCCCCACCCCACCACAGGCTTCAAGGTCACGGCTCGGGGGAGCCTCGGGCACCCAGCCAGTGAATTACAGTGTCTGCAGTTGTTGCAAAGGCCCAGGGGCCTCTGACATCCCCCCGAGAACTGCTAATAGCCACCATCTGTTATTCAGTTGATGAACACCACGAGTGCCCCTGGGCACTCTGCACCAGGACCTCCCAGACCCCTAAAAGGACAATGCTGCCATCTTTTGCCCCGCTTGGAGCCAGGGACTGACCTTGACATGTCCCTGGAATTCCCAATATGTGAAGGGAAGAGAAGTCTGAAGCCCCAAGGGCTGATGGCTGTGGCTAAGGTCCTGTGCAGGGCACTCACTGAACCCAGAGCCATGCAGGATGGGCCCGAGGTGCCAAGACAGGGGTGCCAAGGAGGGAGCCCCTCCCTGGGGCTGAGGGGCTCGCTGGGCCACAGAGTGTGGCTGGGGAGGGGAGAGAGAGCCGGCAGGTGGGCGAGGGGCAGCAAAGGGCTCTCCCTGTTTGCAGGAGCTGCCCAGGCAGGTGTGAGATCAGAGAGCAGAGGGCCAGGAGGAGAATGGGCCCTGGCCTGGGCTGCCGAGACCTGTTGGGCCACAAGACAGGGACATAGGGGAGCCGGGGAGCACTCCTGGGTTCTGTGGGAGGGAGCCTGAGAGCCAGCCCAGGCCAAGGCTGATCAGGACCACTGACCCAGTGAGGCTAGAGGGGGTGCTGGGGTAGTCAGGGTGGGCTCCTTGGAGGACACGTCCAGGCGATCCTGACTCCTCACCCCTCCCGCCCCTGTCCCCGGCTCCCCCTCCACCCACCCCAGAGCCACTACACAGGGCAAGGTCTTCCAGGCCTGGCAGGAGGGGCCCGGAGCCCACCACTCACCTGAGGCCGGGAGCAGGAGCAGCAGCAGGAGCAGCAGCAGATGCAGCAGGGCCCCCAGGAGCTGGGGCGACGCCATCGTGGCTGGCTGTGAGGCTGGTTGGCCCCTGGTCCCAGGCTCTCTGCAGCCGCAGGGCCTCCCGCCCTCCCCACCGCTGCTTCCTGTGGCCTCCTGCTCACCCTTCCTGCTCAGTGGCGCCATCGGTCGGATTGTGAAAGGTGAGTGGGGGGGGGAGCCGGGGGCCACGGCCCCCCAGGATCCGTTCCCAGGGCCCTGCGGCGGGGGGAAGGGGGCGGGGGGCGGGCATTGCAGGGCTGGGATCCAGAGCAGACCCCTGGGAACCAGCACACCTATCCTGACCCCTCCTCTCAGAAGCCAGAGGGCCTCTGTAACTCCCAGATTCCTTCTCAGTAACGAGGAGACCAGGCCGGGGCGGGGGCCACAGAGCCTGGCCAGGCAGGCGAGGGTGAAGAGGCCACTAGGGCTGTGCTTGGAAGGAGTCCACACCTGCTGGGACCTGGAGGAGGACGAGGAAGGGGAGCTGACCCTGGGAGCAGGCGCCTCCCCCATCAGACTGGATAACAGGAAGGATGGAGAGGCAGGATGGCGGGGAGACAGGAGCCTGGGCCCCCGGGGAGGGGCCAGGCCCAGGCGGACATCTGTCCTGGTCACTTCCTGGCTGGGTGACCTGGCACTGAGCGCCTGACACTCAGCGCCACGGGCACGAGGAGCGATGCCGTGGAGCGGCCGCTACGATCATTTCGTGATGAGGAGGACAGGGCCATCACAGCCGCCACCCTGCAGCTGGCCGGAGCGGGAGCAGGTGGCTGCACACACTGGGGGCTTCTACCCACTGACATGCCCAATCGAGACGGAGCCGCCCACCCTCGTCTGGCCTGCATCTCCCCTCCCCCGCATGTCCCATCCAGGCGTGCTCAGGGTCACTCCCCCCGGGGCTGGCAGGCAGGCCGGTGGGAACCTGGCATGGAGGCGCAGGTCAGAGCCGCAGGGCTGGGAGCTCCAGAGCTTTCTCTGCTAGGAAGGCTGGGAGGGCAGCCGGGAAGCGCAGGCAGGGGCCTCGGCCAGGCTCACAGGAGTCAGCTGGGGCGGGCCGGGGGTGGGGGGGGGTGGGGGGAGGGCAGAGCTCTGCAGAGGGAAGCAGCCCAGGGGGGAAGTCAGGAGCAGGGTGCCCGGGCAGGGTGCGGGGAGGGCCACCCCTCTCTACCTACAACAGAACCCTAGTGCCCCCTTGTGCCCCAGCCAGGGTGGAGCAGAGAAGTTGGGACCCCACGATCTCTCCCCCTATAGCTGCACCAGTGTCAAGGCCAGCCCCAGAGGTGGGAGGGCTGGGCTTGTGGGCGGTGCTCTCTGCCCCGGGGGAGGGAGCTGGGCCCTCACCTTCCCTGGGTGGGGGGGTGCCTCCTGCCCTCCCCCAGCCTGTGAGGAGGGGAGCTGGCTCTGACCCTCCCACCCCTGGCCACCGCATCACCGGTGGGTTTGGGCATGGGCTGGCTTGGCCTCTGTCCTCAGGAGTTGGGGGCATTAAGAGGAGCCCCCACCTGGAGAAGGGAGCAGAGGTCAACAGAGTGGAGGAGGGGTTGGGAGGGAGACAGGCACTGGAGGTCCCCAGAGACCCCAAACTCACATCCTGCTAGGGCACCGCCAAACTGCCCCGGCTGCCCCGGTGGTCTTGCTCCCTCCTTGGCCCGCTCCAGTGCCTCCTGTCCCCCAGCCACAGCAGACGGCAGAGGGGAGAAAGACCCCACCACTCCCCATTGCCCCCCAGCACTCGCACCGCGTCCCTCCCTCTGTCCTGGTCGACAGGGTTTCCGGAAGTTATCATCCTCTTCTCTCATTCGTGTTTCCTGATTCCCCGGGGAAGTCGTGTCTGTGCCCCTTTTAATACAAGTATCAGAAAAGCTCCTAGAAAAAGCCCCACATGTCCACACCGGGTGTCAGCTGATGGTGACAACCAGTTTTATTTTGCTTCTTCATACTCTTCTACAGTTTCCAAATCCTCTACAACACATACTTTTCATATCAAAAGACAAATGAATTAGTACTTAAAAAAACACCTTCTCCATCCTTGGGCTGAAAGCAAGATCAAATGCCACCTCCTACAGGAAGCCTTCCTGGGTTCCCTGCCAAGAATGATGGCTCCCTGATCCCATGCCTGTAGCTCCAGGAGCCCTTACCATACACATCACACTAAGAGTTTACTGGGGAAGTGACCAGGTCCCTACCACCTAGCACAGGCTGGCCGCTGACCAGTGCATGCTCGGTGGACAGAGATAACCATGACGGAGAGCCAAGTGTGCCCGGGGCAGGGACACCGAGGTGACCACTTAGGAGAGCTGCAGGCTCGAGGCCGGCATCCCCAGAGAAGGAGTCTCGTGTTAGTCTTTGCAGTGCCAGACCAAAGCCAAAGTAATACCCACCATTTGTGCCACAAGAGGGCTTTGAGAGGTTGGGGGTCCCCTTGGGGTGAGAGCAAGGGTGAGGCAGCTCAGAGAGAGGCCAGGATGGCCAGACGGCCCTGCCCAGCCCACGCATCTACACCCAGCCACAGTTGGGGCAGGCTCAGGCTGTGCGGCTGGTACAAGCAGACAGCAGGCACCAGGAGGCTCATGGGCAGCATTGCCCGGTGTGCAGCTCTGGACCTGGGGACCCCAGACCGGGACCGCAGGCCTGCGGAGACCCGAGCAGAGGCGGGGAGGAGCCAGGAGGAAGAGAGAGGCCAGAGGCCTGGGTTCCGAGGTAGGCAAGCTGAGCCCGTGCTCCGGCCGGGGCCTCTTCCTCCAGGTGCTGGCTCCAGCACCGGGCCTGCAGTGCCATGCTCAGCTTAAAAAATGGCAGAGCTGGCAAGTGGCCACGTGGCGCCCACCAGAGACAGGGCCAAGGCCTGGCCGGGGCCCTGGGAGGTCAGACCCCCAGTAACAAGTGCAGGGCCCAGAGGTGGCCAGGAAAGAACAGGCTCCAGCCGCAGGTCGGGACAGTTGTGGGGACAGCCCCAGCCTGCAGGGGGCGCACTCCGGAGTGCTTCGGGAGCCGGGCCTGTCCACAGAGCATCCCCAAGACTCCCTCTGGGCCCTGTCCCATCCCCGCAAGGTCCCAGGGCCTTCTCAAGTCCCCGGCTGACCGCCAAGGTCCGGGCCTGGCTGCGCACGGAGCAGGCAGTGTGGGGAGAGGCCGCGTCCCTGCTTCCTCTCGCCGAGCAGGTGGGCTGGCGGTCTAGATGCGGCTGGACGAGGTGCTGCCGGAGCTGATGGGGAGCCTGGCGCTGTCCGAGCTGTTCTTCAGAGGGGATGGCCCGTTTCGGGCCTGCAGCCGCATGGACCAGTACCAGAGGAAGATGAGGAGACCTGTGGGTGGCGAGGGCCACGCAGCTCAGCAAGGGGCCTGGGCTCCTTCCTCCCAGAGCCGCCTGGGCTCGGACCCCACCACCACCTCCTGCCTGGCCGTCAGTAGCGATGGGGCCCATGGGGCCCAGGAGCACCTGCTCTGTGCACTGCCTCCCACAGTATCACCTGCAGGCCCCTACCAGGCCAGTCCTAAGCATGGCCCTTCTGTTTGACAAACAAGGAAACAGGCCCAGGTGAGGGGGCGGGCTGAGCCGAGGGCCATCCTGGACTGTACAGAGAGGCTCCCGGCACACCCATGCCAGCACTAGGCAACACAGCTCCCCTGACCAGTGCCACTGCTCTGGCTCACTAACCACTCAGCAAACACTGGTGTGGGCAGACGGGCCTGGCTTATAACCCACAGAGGCCTCCTCATGTCACGCGGGAGAAAGGCTCAAGGGTTTCTAACTGGAGCCGGCACCATGGTTAAGGTTAAGCCACCATGCCTGCGATGCCAGCATCTCCCAGCAGAGCACCGATTCGAGTCCCGGCTGCTCCACTTCTGCTAACGTGCCTGGGGCACTGGGAAGGCAGTGGAGGATAGCCCAAGTGCTTGGGCCCCCGACAGCCATCTGGGAGACCCGGATGGAGTTCCAGACTCCTGGCTTCAGATCCAGCCACTGTGGCCATTTGGGGAGTGAGTCAGCCGATGGAAGACCTCTCTCTAGCTCTCTGTGACAATGCCTTTCAAATACATACATACATCTTTAACATAAAGCTGAATAACTTGGTCACATTTCCCCACCTCTCTGCCTCCTCCCCACTCCTGTTCCATGATGAGCATGTGTGGGAAGCTGGCCCTGCACAGGTGCACGTGCGTGTGTGTGTGTGTGTGTGTGCACGTGCATACATGGACCTGTGCACCTGGGGTGTGCCCGAGTGGTGGAGAAGGGGCCCTTTTAGCATCAAACCCCACTGTCCCCCCCAGGCCTGCCCCTCTGCTCCCCCACCCCTCACTCGCTTCCCTCTGGTCACACCCCCTCCAGTTCTTCCAGCACACACCTTGTCCTAAACTCAGTCAGGGCTTTGGCTCCTGGTTCCTCTCTGCCCGGAGCTCCCCCTCCCAAGTCCAGCTCTGTTTCCCATGAATCCCAGAGGTCCCAGATGGAGCAGTGCCCGCATTTCTAAACGGCTCCTGGGCGGCTAAGGCTGCGGGACCAAGGAGCCCCGGACCTCCCCAGGGCTGGGTCTTCTCTCAGTGTCTGCAACTGTCGTACAGAGAGGCCCCCAGCCCGGCCCGGGCCCTGTCCGCGGTGTGGCCCGCCGTGACGCCCCATTGCCCAGAGTGCCTTTGGTGGCCACATGCTGGCCCTTTCACCCTGTCCTAGCCATCCCACAGCCATAACCCCTGGGCTTAGCCTCGGGCCCGCACACAGCAGGGGCTCAATAAAGACTTGTCCACTCGGCCAGCACGCTCCCATTTTATGAGGGGACGACCGAGGCCCAGAGGAGAGACACCTTGGGGCCCCCTGGCCGGGGGGTGGGCTCGGCTCCGTGCACCTACCTTGGAAGGAGGTGATGATGCTGAAGAGGTAGAGGACCACCAGCTGGAAGGTGCCGGAAGCAAAGGAGAAGAAGACCAAGGCCCAGGGCAGGCCAAGGACCAGGCTGAGGCCGAGCAGCGTGAGCACGTGCGGCCACTTCTGGCTGTGGGAGCGCAGCCGCAGGATCTGCAGCACCATGGTGCCCAGCATGGCCGTGTTGAACAGGAACACCAGGCTGAAGAGGCCCAGGTTGGTGACGTAGCCCACCAGGGAGTCCCGGATCCAACACCTGCGGGCCGAGGGGGGAGACTGAGCCTGTGGCGGGGAGGGGCGGGGGCCGCAGCGTCTCCACGCTGCCGCCGTGTGTTCGTTTCCATGACTTCTCATGACCCTAGCAAGTACGGCTGGTTTTCTACTTATGTTGCCATAACTCTTCTTACAAATACGTTTAAGTTAGAAGATATAAAGGAAAACATTCAGTAAAGGATGTTGTTGGAGCTGGCGCTGTGGCACAGTGGGTAAAGCCATTGCCTGCAGCGCCCGCATCCCATCTGGGCACCGGTTCAAGTCCCGGCTGCTCCACTTCTGATCCAGCTCTCTGCTATGGCCTGGGAAAACAGTAGAAGTTAGCCCAAATCCTTGGGTCCCTGCACCTGTGTGCGAGACCCGGAAGAAGCTCCTGACTTCGGATTGGCCCAGCTCTGGCCGTTGTGGCCTCTTGGGGAGTGAACCAGCAGATGGAAGACCTCTCTCTCTGCCTCTGCCTCTCTGTGACTCTACCTTTCAAATAAATAATCTTTTTCTAAAGAACCCTATCGACAGTACATGGGCGGGGAAGTCACCGGGGCACGAAAGGAAGGGCTGAGGATTAGCTCGGGCACCCTGGCTTCAGACAGGGCTCAGGCACCCATGGGCACGGCCGCTGCCAGCCTGGGTGAGTCAGGAGAGGGAAGGCGGGCAGGGCTGCAGCCCCCCTCCCCCACCCCGGCGACCCCTGCTGGGTGCCTTGGGGCAGCGCTGGCTCTGAGCACAGCCCACCCACCCGGTCTTTGCATCTGTGGTGGGAGGGAGGGGTCAGAGGGGTGCAGGGGGATCCCACTGGAGGCTCCCAACCCCCACGCCCACGTCCCCCTGCAAAGGAGGGCCAGGGCCTGTGCCGTGGCACCTGGTGGAGGGAGACGCGGGTGCACACTGGCTTT